GCTTGCTCACTTTGTGGGATACATCTCCTAATTAGACAATCCACCCCAATTTTGAACAAATATGGATCTTCCCACATATAGAATTTGCTGTCATGTAAGAATTTCTTCTTTTGCTGCCAAGTTAGTCTCTTTGGAATGGGTTGAGTAGCCTTAAAATTTGCAATATTAGCAAACCAAGGCATATCTTCCACTGCAAGTAGCTTTTCATCTGGAAATTCTTCATTGATTTCTAAGGAGTTAGGGGTTAGACTTTCCAATGGAAGTCTGGATTGGTGGTCAGCTAGCCCATTTTCCTTTCCCTTTTTATCCTTAATTTCCAATTCAAATTCCTTCAGCAATAGAATCCATCTCAATAGTCTTAGCTTGGCATCCTGCTTGGACAACAAGTATTTAAGTGCAGAATGGTTAGTATATACTATTACTTTTGATCCCATCAAATATGATCTAAATTTGTCAAAAGCAAACATAATAGCTAGGAGTTATTTTTTAGTAGTTGTGTAATTTACTTGTGCAGGATTTAAAACCTTGTTGGAATAGTAAATGACATGCAATTTCTTATCCTTTTTCTGTCCTAAAACAGCACCTATTGCACTATCACTTGCATCACACATCAATTCAAAAGGCAAATTCCAATCAGGTTTTGCAAGAATAGGTGCAGAAATGAGTTTCACTTTCAAAATAGAAAATGCATGTAAACAAGAATCATCAAATACAAAATCAGCATCTTTCACAAGTAAATCACTAAGAGGTTTTATAATTTTTAAAAAGTCTTTGATAAACCTCCTATAAAAGCCTGCATGACCTAGCAAAACTCCTAACCCCCTTAACATTAATTGGTGGAGGGTGTTTACTAATGACTTCTATTTTTGCTTGGTCCACCTCCATTCCTTTTTTTGAAATCTTATGGCCAAGGACAATGCCCTCTTGTACCATGAAATGACATTTCTCCCAATTCAACACAAGGTTAGTGTCTTAACATCTCTATAAAACAGTGGATAGATTAGCTAAGCAATCATCAAATGAATTACCAAAAATAGAGAAGTCATCCATAAACACTATAATATTATGCCATTGTATGATATTAGTGCTTTTGTGTAAAAGAGTTAGTTGATACTTTAGACATAATTGACTCTTATATATCTTATAAAAAAAACTTGGGTATTTTCCTAAGAAGTATCAGATAACAGAGATTGAACTATTAGGAATAAGGACGTCTCATTGGAGATTGAACTCTTATTGGAGATTGAACTATTAGGAATAGGGACATCTCGGTTTTCAAAAATATAGAGGTTGAACCATAATTTATGAGCACAATTGTAGAGACAGAGATAGAATAGGAACTCGACAACAGCGAAAGTGATGAGTACGAATTTGAAGAAGAATATAGAAGTGGCGAAGACAACGATGAGGATCTTGACGATGATAATGATGAAGAGGAGTCCTATATGGGTGGGCAACATCCTTTTGGGGAGCCATCTTTCATGCATGAATTAGATCTTAGTGTTATGAATGCTACTGAGTTTCCAGAGTATGCAAATTTAGGTATGTAATATTTAAAATTATGTTAGTGTGATTAATTATATTTCTGTTAATTAGTTTATGTTTGCTATTAGTAGGTAACACAGAGATAGATGGTGAATTGTATATTAGAAAGCAATTCAGTGACAAAGAAGTTGTTATAAGAGTAGTAAAGCATTATAGTATATCAAAAGGAGTAGACTACAAAGTATTCAACTCAGAATCAAATATACTTTATTGTAAATATATAAGGTATGACTTAGATTGTAGGTGACTTCTCCGATGTAGTTTCAGGAAGAACGAGTATTTTTGAGAAATCTGAAAATACAACGATCCACACACTTGTACTGTTGGAATCATTTCTCAAGATCACAGAAAGTTAGATACAGACATAATTGCAGAATGTATAAAGCCAATGGTAGAATCTCATCACTTTGGGTATACGATAAGTTATTGAAAAGCGTGGTTGGCAAAACAAAAGGCAATTGAAAATGTATTTGGTAAGTAGGAAGCCTCATTTGAAGCTTTGCTGCAATGGTGCATAATAATGTGTGATGCTGATCAAGGTTCTGTTGCGAAATTAGATGTTGTACAGGCTTATCACAATGATAAATTGGTTCCCAATGTTCAAATATTTCAGTGAGTGTTTTAGACTTTTAGTCCCTGCATTAGAGCATTCCGCCATTGCAAGCCACTTGTACAGATTGATGGGACACATTTATATGGAAAATACAAGGGAGTTCTACTAGTTGCTGTTGCACAAGATGGAAATCAGAATATACTGCCACTTGCATTCGCTGTTGTTGAGAGTGAAATAGTAGATGCTTGGAGTTTTTTCTAGAAAATTTACGAAAATATGTTGTTACTAAAAATGGCATTGGGTTGATTTCTCATCATCACGAGTCAATTATAGCAGCAATCAGAAGATGTAATGGCTAGTGGGAACCTCTAAGAGCATTTCACATGTATTGTATTAGGCATGCTGATCTCCAACTGTAATTGCCAATTTCATTCATATTTGTTAACAACTGCAAGAATTTTGCATGCACTACTGAATTACTTTTATTTGGCATCAGAACATGTCCTAACAAGCAAAGAATATACCCACGAGCATGTTATTGTAACCTAATGTTGTAATTACAAGGAAGCAAACTAAGGTGTTGGGATAGCCACTTTAATTTAATTTCTGATCCATCAATGTCGTTTGAATTAGGTCGGCCTCCTATTAAATTTTCACACATATCCTATATAACAACAGTAAAAGGATTTGTAGAACCAATCACTGCTACACCACTGATCTTAAGTCCAAGTAACATGTACACATCCTCCAATGTAATTATGCATTCTCCACATACTAAGTGAAATATGTATGTTTCAGGCCTCCAACGTTCTACCAGCGCATTTATCAGTGAACTATTTATTTGCATTTCACAAAGTTGAGAAATTTGATCAAATGCATCATGTTGTAAAATTTTCATAATTTCAATCCTTGGAGGCGTTATTGACAAGTGAGGAGAGTGTAACATTCTCATTACCTGTTATAAATAATAAAAAAAACACCATTATTACCAAAACAATTATCTATATTACATAAATCCTAATAAATATTTAAAAATTATAAAATTCCTATAAAATCAAATTTTATTATAATAATATAATTGACAAAAATATTTACAACAAAATTACAATGTACTTCACATCATATATAATCAATTTTAAATTAACATGATACATTAATGATAACACATTTCAAAATGAAACTTATGAGCTTTTGATTTTAGCCTTTTTTCAACACAAATTCAGCATTTTTTAATTTTAATTACTATAACAATATAAATTATTATAAAAAATCCAGATTAACTTTTTACTTACAAAAAAAAAAACCAACTACTATATATAACTAATGTTATATTTTATTTATTAAAAATTAAACCATAATTAAAATACACATAAAAATATATTAAATAATAGAGAAAAACTTACATTTAAATTTTGAATTTGTTCCAAAATATGTTTCCTTGAATCAACAATTGTATCTTTAACCATTTTTTTTGCAATTCTAATTTTTCAACTTCTCCTTATTTCTCCAGAGTCTCACTTCTTCTTCTTCTTCTTCAACTTTGTACCGCCCATTTTCTTGCATGCAGCAAATATATAGGCCTAAAATCGCCATTGGCATTTTAAGATGTTCAAAATCGCCAATGTCGACTTTATAGAGTCAGGTTGTTTGTATGACAGCATTTAAAATCGCCAACGGCGAGTTTACTGGCCCTTGCACCTCCTGCACCCGCTTGCATTGATTTGACGATACAATGCTTTTGACCAAACTAAAATCGCCAAAGGCATTTTTAGCTTTTACTGTGAACTCCTGAATGAACTATTCACGTAAAATTACATTTGGCATTTTTTTTGTTATGATTCAAGCACGCTGCAGTTCTGTTCTGACCTTTGCCATGCAACTATTCACGTTAAAATCACCTTTAACATTTTTTGTTACATTTCAGACACGTGTTAGTTCCACTTTGACCCTTGCCATGCAACTATTAACTCAAAATTGCCTTTGGCATTTTTAGTTATGCCATATTCTTGTACATGTGTAGAAAAAGCCATATTTCAGTATTTATAATTTATTAATATCATATTTAAATAACTTTTCCAGATATCAAACAATTATGATCATATAGTTCATGTTGTATTTTTATGAAAGATTAAATATGTATATATTAATGGATTTGGATCCTCTCACGTGTAAAAAATATTGAACATCATTATTTGTATTTATCTCACCATTTATTTATTTAACATTTTATTTAAAATAAAAGATATTATATTAATAGCATATATTGAAGGATTAAGCTCTCGTACAATAATAAAGTTATTGCATAAAATATTTTACAGATGACTCTAATTCAAATTAATTTTTTGATTTTTTATATTTTTTCTAAAGTCATTTATAAAATATTAACACTGGATAACATTTTATATTTCTTTTATTAAAAATAAATTTGATTCACATGACTATTACAAGTAGTCAAATAAATTAATACCTTTTAAGTTACATCAATGGTTAACGTGTCATATCCAACATAGGTAGTTTTTTTTTTTTTAATTTTAACTTAAACATATTTTTAGTTTGTGTAAATATTATTAAATATGATTTTAGCTCTTTTAAAAATTTTAACTTAAACATATTCAAAGTGATTACGTGATATCTCTATTGAATGAATACAGTGTGTCACGTTGATTCTATTCCACGTAATATTTATTTTAAAAAAAATCGAAAACAATAATAGCAAGTGAATGCATTCGGTTACGTACATTCTCATTTCTCATTTCTCAGTTGTTGCATTCATTTTTTATCTTGACCCATGCAAACACACACAAGATAGATTTATAGAAGAAACCTGTGAAAGTGACCATCTCCTTGTAACCGTGTTTTGTGTGATTTTGATAGAAAACAAAACGACATCGTCGTTTCGAAAATGGCGACCATGACGAGCTTGATCGGACTTATAAACAAGATCCAACGTGCATGCACGGTGTTGGGGGACCACGGCGGCGAGGGATTCTCTCTCTGGGAGGCTCTTCCCTCCGTCGCCGTCGTTGGAGGACAGGTTTGTTCCTCTTTATAACTTCTTTGTAAAGTTCCACTTTTCTTTTTTAGGTTTTGTATTGTGATTGACTGTGTGTTTGTTGAAAACAAATCAGAGTTCAGGGAAATCATCAGTGTTGGAAAGTGTGGTGGGAAGGGATTTTCTGCCACGTGGATCTGGTAATCATCACTTCCTCGTCGTTTTTTTCCTGTTAACACATATTTTTCTTAATTTTGATGCTTAATTAAGCATTTAATAAAAAAACTTATCTCATGATATTTGACAATAAAATTTCTTCAAATAAATTGGAAGGAAGCTATTCAAATATGTTGAATTAAATTTAATAGAGTTGTGAGTTATTTTTATAAATTTTTTATGAGCTCGTTCAAACGGTTTCTTTAACATTAAAAATTTCAACACTGTATTGACATAATAGTGTTTATAATTATTTAATATGCTCTTTTTTTTATCATTAATTTAATAAATACCATGATTGTTTAAAGTTTATATTTAGCTTCTCTAAAATGAGAACATGTAAAGTTGGAAAGTAAGAAACAATTCTCTTTTGAATTGTATTCAAGTATTTAGTAAACATAACTAAGTTTAAATTAAAAGTAGACAGATTCTCACTCTTTACGTATTCTAAAATTAGAAGAGACAATCCTTAAAATTTAATCTTATTATCTGTTTAATAAATACTACTTCAATTTCATCAATGTCGTGTGTGACATGGAAAGGCACCGAAGTTTGAGCCTCATCCAAAAATAGGTCTGTTATATTTTCTTTTGGCATTTGATTAGATGAACAAATTCTTTTGAACTTTTTTAATTTATTTTTTAAGCATTTTTTTTTTCAATGCAAGAAGAACTTTTTTCTTAAAAAATGCACAAAAGGACCCTACGTCATTTATGATTATTGGATCAGAAAAGGTGAAAAACTTAAGAAATAATATTTGTTTAGTTTTTCTTGCCTAGTCTTGTACGCAAGAAAAGAGATATTTTGAGGGAGAAAATTGCATTATAAATGGATAGCAGGTGATCCTTTTTCTTTTCATTTGAAAGCAAGGATTATTCTTTATTTTATCAATGATAGAGAAGAATGGTTGTTTATTCATATGAATGTTTTTATGATATTATTTTTCATTTTTTTAGGTATTGTCACACGGAGGCCACTTGTGCTGCAACTTCACAAGACAGATGATGGGCAGCAGGAATATGCTGAGTTTCTTCATGCACCGAGAAAGAGATTCTCCGACTTTGGTAAATGATGTTTTTGACTTAAGAAGATGTTTTTTCTAATTCGGTAAGATTTGCAGTATTGATAAGCTGACATTGGTGAAGCCACTTGTATAGACTTCAATTGATGTAATGTTAATATGCCATCTCAAATTTGTTGAATATATGGGATCATGAACTTGATATTTTGTACTTAATTCAGTTTAATGAACCACACCCCTTCCCATAGAGGGTATATATGTAACCAGAGCGGCAAGATTTGTTGCTTACTATGATAAACAAATCCATCCTATTTACCTATGATTTACAGTTGAATTAATCTTTCTTCAAAACCAGCTGTCGTTACAATCATAATGCAGAATTATTTGTCTTTATAAGAGAAGGGCTGTGTTTGTAGATGAGATTTATACTCTTTCAAGGCCACTTATGACATGGGTATGCTGTTAGTTTCTATGTCCATTGTTAAGGATGGCTTATACTATCTCTATGACAATTAATTGCATTGTAAATTGTCAATTAACGGATTCTCTTACTTTAATTTCCGTACTTAACTCAAAAATGCATTACAAATTCGTTTTGTCTCTACTCTCTAGATATAATGGTGATAACTCCAATATTGGGTTGTATTATTAATGAAGAAGAAAATACGGCAAAATCAATTCTGCAATAAACAGAAACATTATATGACACATTACACATCAATTTGCTCTCCATAACTAATTTCTCTTTCTAATTCCCATTCTTCCCCTTCCTATTTCTCCTACTATGTGTCTTCCGAATTCAAGGCCCGTGACTGAGTTGGACTGGACTTGTCCACTTATGTTAATGGGACCTAACACTATCATACAAGCTAAGTAAGCGGGAAATTTTCATCTTGAAAATGCGCACAATGTGCCGCAGCAGAATCACCAGAAAACAGAATAAATCATGAACTGAGATCAAAGATTAGCGTTTTATTTTGGCTTTGCTGCAAACTTCAAAATGAATTGTGAGAAACTGCACTAAGGTGGGTGATACAAAATGAATGTGTTATTCTTAGGGACAGTTTTTTTTTTTTTTGAGTAATTTATATTTTTAACAATGATTATAATCAGTACTTTTATTTTAAGAATTATTATCTGATATAGATTTTCACTATAAAAGTACAACTAATCTTGGATGTCCTATTTTGGATTTTTTCATATTATTATCAATAACTAATATTGATTTTTCTGGTAAATCTTTGTGACTTTTGGTTCAACATCATTGAGAGGACAAACCTAGTATTTGCCAATAATTGCAAACAGGTTGCTTCCCAATTACTTCCTGACAATGCAACATTAAACTGGAAACTATTTTTGTACTAGTCCTGCACGTTACACTAATATAGGGGGAAACAGTTGGGAGGTCTATGAGTTTGCAGCATGTCAGTAGTGTTAATACTATATTCCTACTGAGTAGTGCTATCCAAAAGAATTGTTTCTCCTTAGATAGAATATTTGACTGCCAAATTTCCATGTGAAAATGGAACATGTCCTCACTTGGAGAATGAGACATAAACCAAGAGTAAGACTTACATGTTCATGATTATGTCCTGGAAGAATTGGGAGTTCAAATAATCCTATCTCCGTCAGCAGAATTTTGTTTAGAATCAAGTGAATGCAGAATGGGATCTGATTTATTACTTTGTGTATCATTATAACTTTCAACAGAGATTAGGACCCAGAATATAAAGAAAAAAAATTTTGGATGGGTGAATTTTGTGAAGAATAATAGAGGATATAGAGATATGGCAATGCCTCTGAGAAAGGAATATTCCCAGAAAAATTTCCTTTATGACCATTTAAGGTTAATCTCAGCCCACAGAGACATGTTTTGTGGTCTAATAGATGTGCACGGTAATCTTAGCTCACAATTTTACCATTTAGCCACCATAGCAGTGTTTTTGGACACCGGATTCCCTAGACTGAAGAAACCCCTGCCAACTAGATAATAAGATGACCTCAATGCTCAGCCCCTCTTGACCAAAGGAAGTCCCTAATAATTTAGGAGTCTTTTGAGCCAGTCAAACTGAAATGCAAAAGAGGGAAAGGATTTGAGGAGGAATTGTTGGATTACAGGTAATTTAGGTATAGAGGGAGAGAACAGAGACAAAAGAGACGTTGGGTAATATTTTGATGTATTAAAATGAGATGTACTTGTGTTGATAAAACTTGAAAGCATCACCCCTATTTATACTAATAATTCTAACTGAATAAGAAAACAAATCATGAGATATTAAGAAATATAAAAACTAAGAAAATAGGAAAACTAGTCTTAAAAGATAATCTGCAAGATATTCTAAACTATTTTAGGATAGAATTAAGATATTATCTGATACTCTAAATAATTTTAACATATGATATTGAAATTATAAGATATTTCAATACTCCCGCTCAAGCAAAGTTTGTTTCAAATAAACCCTTTCAAAATATAATATAGCAGGGTGACCAATGGCAATTTCTGGTGAGATATTGGAGAGTGGTCTAGACCTCACAAACTTGAGAAACAACTATGAGCATGGCTAGAATTAATCATCCTTTTCCTTCTTTCCTAATGAATGATTTGTTCTTGTGTGTGAGAGCATGTGCAATGATGACTTCGGCTAGGATTTTGGGGTTCAGTCGGTCTGAATGGCAGTGCTAGAAACAAATGACAGGCATAGCGAAGGTGCTTAGGATTTTTGAAATGAAGGCTGCTAAAGAAAAAATACCGCAATGAAGGAAGATAGGATATTGACAATGAAGGCTGGACACTCACATTTCAGCAATGTAGTCTGACAGTATCAACATATAGGCCCACAATAAAGGTTGGACATTTACCTTAATAATGAAGGCTTACAATGTCAATAGGTCTGCAATGAAGGCTAACGATGTCAATAAGTTGGCCCACAATGAAGGCTGCACACTCACATCTCATGTCAGAAATGAAGGCTAACATTGTTAATTAATAGGTTTGCAATGAAGGCTAGGCATATGATGGTTGATAGCACCAAGGATGGTTCACCCCTTTAAGAATAGACACTAACAACAACTTCATTTTATCAACACTGACCAAATAGTATCCTTTTTCCGTTTGGTGGATTCACCCATTTATCAGTATTTGTTACGCTGCACCAAAGTATACAGCTAACCATTTGCATTGCTCTACTCTCAATGAAAATACCAAACAATTTCAAAAATATGGAAGGAAGATCATGACCTAAACTAGAGTAAACCAAACAAAGAGGAACTGATGAAAAAATCTAGACGATCAGCAATAAGAGGCAATATTGACAAGGCAACATGTGGGCAGTAGGAACAACAAAAAAATGAGCATAAAAGAGCTTAAGAGGTTCTGAATAAGATGATGTCCTTATGAACACTTGAAAATCAAAGAGCATTGATGGAATATGTGTCTCAACTACACAAAGGGCTGGATATTTATATTGATAACAATTATATCAGCAATGATTACAAGATAATTACATAATATGCAGTTAGCTAATTACGATAATTACAAAAATACTAATTTCTCTAATTATATTTACGATTACAATTACTATTATTAGTAAAAAGTTATGATCCATTACTTGATTTAATGGTTTAGTTGATATTAACTATTCATAATGGAAGGCTTGTGTTGCTTATATGCTAGTACATATAAGCATAGAGAGACTGCAACAAATCATTCAAAGAAAACATAAGGATATAAATCCTCTAGTGAGCACATTGTGAGAGATAAAGAATTCATAGAGAATTCTTCTTTGTAATTTTGTTTTTTCCTTATTAAAGAGATTCTTCTTTAGTTTTACACAGTATATATTTCTACATCAAAGATGATTTATCACATCAACTTGGTATAAGAGCTATGGCATTTGCGAAGTTTGATGTTGATAAATTTATTGGCAAAAATAACTTAAACTTGTGGTGGTTGAAGATGTTCACTCTCCTCAGGCAACAAGAATGTGAGTTGGCATTGGAAAGAGAATCAAAGTTTCCAACCAAGCTTACATCTACCCAGAAGAATGCAATAATGAAAAAGACAGTATAATGTTATTATTGCTAGGTGATGAAGTTTTGGGAGAAGTCTTTGGAGAAAAGACCTCTGACATGCTTTGGACAAAAGCTTGAAATTGGTACATGATAAAGCCTCTCCATAATCGTTTTTGTCTGAAGAAACAATGATATACTATGCAAATACATGAAGTTGAGTCCATCATAAACATATTGAAAATTTCAATCAAACTGTTCTTAGTTTGAAAAACATTGATTGTGCTGTGGATGATGAGGACCAAGCTGTTCTTAGTTCTTTGCCAAGAGCTTATGAAAATTTTGTAGCTACAATAATTTTTGGAAGAAACTCATTGTTGATGGAGGAAGTGAAAACAATCTTACAGTCTTGGGAATTAGAAAGGTGAATTACCAATTCATATGGTGGTACAAGCTTGGGTGAAAGTTTAATGGTAAGAGGAAGAATGGAGAAAAGGAAGAAGAGTTTTGAAAGAAGTAAGTGTAAGTTACGCAATAAAAATAAAAATAATAACATAAGTCATAACTGTAAAAAAGAAGGGCACTAGAGAAGAAACTTCTTGGAGCTCAGGAAAGATAAAACAAGTAATTCGGAGTTTGGTGGAGCTGTTATGGCCTCAAAAGAATTGGATGGTAGAAATGTTCTCTTCATTTCATCTAATGTTAATGATGATCATTGAATTCTTGATTCAGCATGTACTTTTCATATGACAACTATTAGAGATTGGTTTGTCATGTTCCAAGAGGTTGACAAAGACAAAGTTCTGATGGAAAATGATGGTGCTTGTAGCATAATTGGTAAAAGTACATTGCAAATCAAGATGGTTGATGAGATTGTGAGATATGTGCCTGAACTTCACAAAAATTGAATTTCTTTGAGCACTTCAGACTCTCGGTTGTTTATACTGGGTTGAAGGTGGAGTCTGAAAAATTTCTAGAGGCTCCTTAACAGTTTTTAAGGAAAAGTTGAAGAATGGACTATATATCTTGCAAGGTAGCACGGTGGTAGGTGCAACCACAATTTCTTCTATTTCTTACCTTGACCAAACTCATTTGTAGCATTTGAGGTCAGGCCATATGAGTAAGCGTGGAATGTATGAGCTTAGCAAGAGAGATTTGGTTGGTGGACATCAAACTGGAACGGTAGGTTTTTTTTAATATTGTATTTATGAAAAACAATACATATTCACAAAATGTTTGGATTTATGTCTTGAAATAGAAGAGTGATGTATTCCTCAAGTTCAAGCAATGGAAATATTTGCTGGAGAAACAGACGAAGAAGGTCAAATGACTTTGGAAAAGATTGGAATTTTGCAATTGGGAAGTTTGATAAGTTTTGCGCAAATCAAAGAATAGGTCGTCATGAAACCATGGGACATACATCACAACAAAATGATGTAGCAAAACGAATGAACAAAACATTGCTTGAGAGAGCTCATTGCTTGCTTTTAAATACAGGTTTGCCTAAGCAATTTTGGGCAAAAGTAGTTAATACTACATGTTATTTGGTGAACAAATCTCCTTCTACAGCTGTTGATTGCAAGACCCCAAAGGAGTTGTGATCAGACTCTACTAAAATTTATTCAACTTTGTGTGTATTTGGGTGTCTAGCTCTTGCTCATGTTAATAAAGGGAAACTGGAGCCAAGAAACAAGAAATGTATATTTTTGGGTTTGGGTTATAAAGATGGAATAAAAGTGTAGGTTATGGGATCCTAAGGAGTTAAAGCTCATGATCAGTAGAGATATGACCTTGATGAGAAATTCATACTTAACCCAAGACCACATGAGGACCATGATAATAATGTTGAAGTTTATGGTGTTACCAAAAATGTATATGTTGAAACTGTACCTCTTAAACAAAACTTAGAGGAGACACATGATGAAGTCACAATAACAAAGCTTTATATATTGGCTAGAGAAAAGCCAAGAAGACAAATCAAAGCACTAGAAAAGTATGGTGATTTTCTTGCTTTTGCACTCAATATGGTAGAAATATAAAGCATTGATGAAAAGGCACCCAATTTATTCCATGAGACAGTTAATTATGATGAGGCATCACAGTAGATTGGTGCCATGAAAGAAGAGCTCGAATCCCTCCACATCAATCAGACTTGGAAGCTTGTTGAAAAACCAGTTGCTTAGAAGATGGTTGCAAATGGATACTCAAGAAAAAGGATGAAGTAAGGTTTAAAGCAAGGTAGCAAAAGGCTTTACACAAAGACAAGGTATTGACTTTAATGAAGTTTTTTCTCTTGTTGTGAAGCATAGTTCCATTCGAGTTCTTCTTGCTTTGGTGTGTCTACATGACTTGGAGTTAGAACAATTAGATGTACAAATTGCCTTTATAGATGGTGATTTGGAGGAAATGATTTACATGTGACAACTCAAGGAGTTTGTTGTATTAGGAAAAAAAGATCATGTTTGTTTGTTGAAAAAGTCTATGTATGGGTTGAATCAGTAACTCAAGCAATGGTATACACAATTTGACTTGTTTATGATTGATATTGAGTATACAAGAAGTGAGTATGATAGTTGTTTTTATCATAAGAAATTATTTGACAACTCTTATATTTACTTGCTTCTTTATGTTGATGACATGCTAATTGTATGTAAGTGCCCAACTAAGGTCATTAAGGTGAAGGCACAATTAAGTGGTGAATTTGACAAGAAAGATTTGGGTCCAGTGAAAAGATTTCTTGGTATGTAGATCATACGAGATCAGAAAGCTGGAAGATTGTGCTTATCTCAAAAGAGCTGTATTGAGAAAGTTCTAAAGAGATTTGGAATGCATAATGCAAAGACAGTTAATACCCCTTTTGCAGCTCATTTTATGTTGTCTACAAAAATGTCACTACAAACAGAAGAGGTGGAGCTCATGTCTTTAGTACCTTACTTTAATGTAGTTGGAAGTATGAGGTATCACATGATTTATACTAGACCAGATATTGCACATGCAGTGAGTGTTATTAGTTGTTATATGGGTAATCTAGGGAAGGCTCTTTGGCAAGCTGTGAAGTGGATTCTCAAATACTTGAAAGGTTAAACTAACATGGGATTTAGTAGAGGAATAAATGAGGTGTCATACTCATATCATTGGATTTTGTGACTTGGACTATGCAAGTGATCTTGATCATAGGAGATCATTGACTGATTATGTTTTTACGCTTGGAGGTAGTGCTATAAGCTGGCGTGCAACTTTACAGTCCACTGTTTCCTTTTCAACTATAGAGGCAAAGTATATGGTAGCTATAGAAGCCTTGAAAGAAGCTTTATGGATCAAAGGTCTTATTGGTGATCTTGGTGTAAGTAAAAAAGAATTTACAGTGTTTTGCAATAGTCAAATCATAATTCACTTAACCAAGAACCAGATATATCATGAGAGGAAAACATATTGATGTCAAAATGCATTTTATTCATGATGTCATAACATGAGTTGATGTGTTGGTAGAAAAGATTGCTACTTCTGATAATCCAATAGATGCAATGACAAAGGCTCTCTCATTGATAAAGTTCAAATGTTGTTTGGGTTTAGTTGGTATCTGAAGTGCTAGTTGACACTCAAAGCTGATGGAGCATCATTGCTAAGAGATGGAAACAAAATGGCTTAAGGAATTCAAGTGAAAGTGGGGATTTGTTATGAGTGGCTTGAATAACAATTACTATTAATAGTGAAGAGTTATAATCCATTATTTGATTTAATGGTTTAGTTTATATTAACCATTCATAATGGAAGGCTTGTGTTGCTTGTATGCTATATCAGCAAAGAGATTGCAACAAATCATTCAAAGAAAACATAATGATACAAAATTTTTAGTGAGCACATTGGTGAGAGATAAAGAATTCAAAGAGAATTCTTCTTTGTTCTTTTCTTATTAAAGAAATTCTTCTTTAGTTTTGCACAATATGAATTTCTACGTCAAAGACAATTTGCCACAACAATATTTAACACTCCTCCTCAAACTGGAGCATGTAAACCATATGCACTAAGCTTGTCACATATGTACTTAATATGGTCTTAAAGGTTTGGTGAATACAAATTCTAGTTGATCATTTGAATTGACAAAAATTTTGGTGATGACTTCGAATAGGATCTTTCATGAATAAAGTGACAATCTATCTCAATGTGTATTGTTCTTTTGTGGAAGACCGAATTTGAGGCAATATGCAAGACTGCTTGGTTGTCACAAATAAGTGTTCTTTGTGTGACTTCTCCAAATCTCAGTTCTTTAAGAAGTTGTTTTAGCCAAATAAGTTGACACATGGCTAAGGCCATGGCTCAAAATTTTGCTTCTGCACTGGAAAGAGAAACCACATTTTTCTTTTTACTCTTCTAGGATTAAGAAAATAAATCTCTAACAAAATAAATTAAGAAAATATGAGATGTATTTTCATCATTTGTCTATTGAAATTATATATGGCAATAACATTAAATTTCATAATAGTAGAAACTGAACTTTGATTTCCTTTTCTGTCCCATGCAGCTTCTGTGAGACAGGAAATTTCAGATGAAACAGATCGGATAACTGGGAAGACAAAGCAAATTTCAAATGTTCCAATTCATCTCAGCATATATTCTCCACATGGTATTTATTTTCATTACCCTTTGATAACATCATAGAAGCAGTTTAATTTATATCTTTTAAAACTTTGTAACATTGTTCTGGGTACTTTTTATCATTTCCTCCCTTCTTATTATTCTTCTCTTCTATATTTCTCAGGATGTTTTCTCATACTTTCTTTTTCAATTGAACCAATGTCTTGGATTTCCTTCTTGTCAGTTTGTCCTAAGGAACTGTATAATTTATGTTGCAAGTCTTGTTCTAAACTTCTTACGTCATGGATATTGAATAATATTCATAGTATCAAATCAAGGACAGATTGGTCCTATAATGCAGCAGTAATCTTATATGCTCTCAGTGGGTGCTTCATATAGCTTAAAGGATTGTTGTGAGAAAATATTTTTTCTTGATTTCTTTTAAGTCATGATCAGAATGAAAGATAGATTCAAAGTGCCAAATCTCTAATTTCTGGTCTTTAGTTAGTGATCAACTCTGTGAACAGCATTAGCTCTAAAGCTAGTGAATGTGTAGTGAAAGAAGGGGAGCCGCGGGGTGTTGCACCTGAGTGAGTGAGTCTTAATGTCTGTCTGGGGCTGATCACTTGGGCTCTTTCCCTCCCAATTGCTTATTCTGTCAAGAGTCAACTAGCTACGCCACAAAATCTAGAAAGGGAGCAACTGTTGGAGATGGGCCCAACAAGACCCCAAGTTTGGAGGGTGAAGTAAACAGAACAAAAAGCAAGGGAATAGAAGGAGGTTATGAGTTAACATTGTTAGCATCCTCCTTATGAAGATCAAAGGTGGAGCTCTATGCTAAAGTCAGTTTGGTTCAAAACGTTTTGTTCTATTGTTTTCTTCGTGGTTAATATCCTGCAAACCAAAGCTATTCATCACACAATTACAATGATTTGTTTGATAAGGTGATCACTTTAATTGTGTAAACTGACCACATTTGAAGTCTTCTAATTTGGTCTGCAATTTTGTTTGTGTTAATTCTGTGGGGTTCAGGCCCTGGGCCTCTGGTGCAAGAAGAAATTTATTAAGATAATGATTTTGAAAATCACTGTATACTTTCATGTAACTACAATTACTCCAAATTGTTAGCTTTGATGTAGTTTCCACTTTCCAGTTCAGTTCAAATTTCCCTTATGATCTTTTATATTTTCTGAGCATTTTCTGACCAGAAAAGATAACATCCCCCTTTTTTTTAAAAAAAAAGTTGTCTCTTTTGAGGTAAATGACTTTCTTTTTGGCGAAAGATGAAAATTTTATACTTGAAAAAAATCATAGGCTTACACCAAGAAGAAGCCAGTTTCCCAATCTTTTAGGATTCAAGGTGAGAAGAAGACCGATAGAGGTTATAACTGGAAAAGTGCATCAAATGGAAGATAGTCTGATAAAACTGGGTAGCGGAGGAGACCTGAGAAATCATTTGGAGAAACACTAGAGATGATCTAAATGCTCTTACTGAAAATTTGTTTTTGATAGAAGCTAATGGCATTTATTGATTCATGCAGCTGCCCCTACGCTGTAGGATAAGTCACTGCTGTTATATTTTCTTAATATGCTGTTCTTTTAGCTTGTTGGAAATCTTAACTTGATTAATTTCTTTTGGTTATAGAAACCGTTTCTAATATCAACCCTTCTCAGTGACAATATGCACAGTTTCTTCTTTGCTAATAATTCCCACTTTCCCTAACACTTCGATTTTAGTAGCATGATGATTTTGCATGGCTTTGTCTGCAGTTGTGAACTTAACCCTCATAGACCTTCCTGGGTTAACAAAGGTTGCTGTAGGTAAAGTTTCACAAATTTGCTGGTATTTTCAGACAAATTATATGACATTCTGAGAGGACCCATCCTAGTTTTTAAAGAATAACAGAATTTGTGCTTCTTTCACAGAGGGACAATCAGAAACCAGAAACTATTGTTCAAGATATTGAGAATATGGTCCGTTCTTATGTTGAAAAGGTAATTGTACTCTTGATGTAAAAAGAATAACCATATATGATTGAAAATTGTATTAAGCAAACATGATTATGACCTTGACTAAATCAGAGTTACTAATGGAGAGAAATTAATTCCATATACTATAAACTCCATTCATAGAAGATAGCATCTATGATTAGACTTCAATACTGGAAATCATAGACAAAAGCTTCATTAGTAGGTTCCTTCACAGTGATTAGAGACAGCATGAAGATCATTTCTCTTAAAGCAGTCATCACCATTTGCCCATTAAGTTATAGTTAGCTATAAATTCAGTATTAACCTGATTGATGCATGACCCGCTAGCTTTTATTTGAATACTGGAATTTGAAACTGTAATCTATGATGCACAATAATGCAAAATTGGCAATGTATCGTAACTGTACTGGATAGACTTGTATTATACAACTGCCTCAGAATCAAAGCTTCATTTACCTTTAATATACATTTTTCTTTGGATAATAAGGAGATTGCTATCATAATTTGAATATAAATTTTTTATCTAATTTTGATTAAGATTATGCTTTCTTAATGAATTTTTCATGAGAGTAAATATCAATAGTAATACAATGATGATAACAAACAAATTAATAAATAAAGAAATATAAGCAGTTTATAAAAATAATTATATTTTGCTTAATATATTTTTTCCTTACCCAATACTTGTACCTGTACCGGTGCAACATAGATTATAATTGGATTTAAGGACACACTGTTTACTACAACTAATGACAATAACAATAGTGTAATTTCTGTAAGTTGTAACAAGTATACCAAACCAATAAATATGCTTCATCCAAATTCAGTCTCTGGAGTGAATCATATCATTTATCTTCTCTAGATCTCTCGGATGCAATCTAATTGAATTTTCTGATTGTGCAGCCCAACTGCATTATATTGGCCATCTCTCCTGCAAATCAAGATATTGCCACCTCAGATGCAATAAAAATTGCAAAAGAAGTTGATCCATCAGGTCAGGCTTTTTTATATTTGACTGAATTTCAAGCATAGTTGATGCTTCCTTCTTTTATTATCTTTCTTTCTCTTTCCATTTTAACTAGGAATCATTTAGAAAATCCTTGGTTATTTTATTCTTTTTTCAGGGGAAAGAACATTCGGAGTGTTGACAAAACTTGATCTTATGGATAAAGGAACTAATGCTGTTGATGTATAGTTCTGTAACAACTGCACTGTTATCTTTGGTTTGATGTTCAATACCGATTTGTTTTCCTTGTTCCTAAGATCAAGCCTATCACCTAGTGAAAATTTAATGTATTTATGTGAATCTTAAAGGTTCTTGAAGGAAGACAATACAGGCTACAGCATCCTTGGGTTGGAATTGTTAATCGTTCACAAGCAGATATTAATAAAAATGTTGACATGATTATTGCTCGTAAAAAGGAGCGTGAATACTTTGAGACTAGCCCTGAATATGGACATTTGGCACATAAAATGGGTGCAGAATATCTTGCCAAGCTTCTATCTCAGGTACTCTCTGTAATATTTTCTTCACATTATTTTCTTTATCATTGTAGTTGTATTGGTGTTTTTTTATGTAATTGTAAGTAACTTCCTTTCTTTTACTGGCATTTTCACCTCAGCATTTGGAGCTTGTTATTAGGCAACGAATACCCAGTATCATTGCCTTAATAAATAAAGCCATTGATGAGCTTAATGCAGAGTTGGATCGAATTGGCAGGCCTATAGCTGTGGATTCAGGGGTCAGAACTTTGACCAATGCTGAAATCAATCATTTTAGATCTGAAACTTGCTTTTTGCTTGTACTTATTAATGTTACATTTTTATAGGCCAAACTATACACCATTTTACAGATGTGTCGAGCATTTGACAAAGTGTTTAAAGAACACCTGGATGGAGGGTAAGTGCTCTGGTTAAGCTTTAGCATTTGTCTGTAAATTATCCATATTTTTTAGTGATCTTGGTCATTTATTTATATACAGTTTTCTACTAAAATTTCACTCGTACTTTATGCCGTAATATTGCTTTCCTTGTGTGCATTTATTCCTTCATCCTCATGCAGAAACTTATTGTTATGATACTTTTCTTAATAGCTAGTCTCCTTGCAATTTACTTTTATGCTATAACTGTTTGATAATGAAGAATGTTTGAGGATAGTTTATTAAGTCAGGATAGCAATTTCCGATACCCTTGCATGGGTTGCTAATTGCTGGAAAATGGAGTACACCCCTGACATTTCTCAAACAAAGTCTTAGCTTTGATTTAGTAATGATCCTTCTAGAAGTAGTTCAGAAACATCAAATTGAGAGACTAGAATTTTTATGCTAATGAACCAATTTTGTTTTCTCATTCTCAACTAATGCTTCCTTTTATGAAAACAGAATATATGAACTCAATAGGGCTCTCTTTGACAGCAAAATCATAAAATTTCCACTAGCTGAACAGCATTAGCATATCAAGAAAGTACTTCCATCAGTTCCATGTTATAAAAGTTGAAAGGCAGTTATCTCCTGCTTGAAAATTCTCCCTCTTAGGGGGGGGGGGGGGTTGTGATATTTTATTTTTTTAAGGGCATTATTAGTTTGATGAAAGTTTAATTTGGTTCTAGATGAGATGGGTTTTATATTTTGTATTTTACTCCTGTTCTCTTTCGGTTGAGTATTTCTTTTGCTCTATGTGTTGCGCTAGTTAGAGGTTTTGTATCCTTTCATTTCTTTATCATTTGTGGGTTGATGATTTTGAAATTAAAATGTTTTATGGATGGAATCTCCAAAGAATTACATCTGTTTGTCTTTTGAATTTCAATAAAATTTTCTATTTATGGGATTCATAAGGAGTTTTTTTCATTTTGTGATTGCTTGTGTGCTTTGAAACACTTACTAATCCACTTAATTTTGGAATGAATAAGTACCATTAAACCCTTTCATCATGAAGATATATCTTGAAATCCTGGGAACTAAATTGTAGATTCAATTTTTTAATGTTTCAGTGATTTTTGAATATTGGGATGCAACCGAGAATTTGGTGAGATCCAATGTGTTATGTAGATATAAAATAACTCGTAGGACTCTACTATTTTTCTTAACAGCTTAAATCTTTTTGGTTGATTTAGGTTTTTGACATGTACAAGTCTTTATAATCACTATGTTAGGAGTTTGATTCGTGTCTCATTCATTCTTTTAATTAAATTATATAGGTCTATGCATTGTCCATACTTCAACCCAAATGAGGGCTGATTTTTTATGAGGTCTGTTAGAGACATAAAACTATTATCAGTTAGCTTAAGCCTTTGGCTTGATTTGTTTCTTGACAATGCACAAGCTGAAAATGCTTGTCACTGTTTTTGTCATTGATATTCTACCAATAAAAGAAGGCTATTGCTTATATATTTTTTAAAATGATGGGTACAAAATTGCTTAGTACTTCAGGGAAAAAGTTAAACTGACTCACTTTACAAGAACAAAGTAATTAAAAAGAAAGAAAATCAATTGTGTTTAATGAGATACACCTTTATATTATCTCAACTGGGGTTGGTTCAACTGGTATATGCTTGATTCCCTTTAAGCAAGGTCTTGGGTTTGAACCATGTGAATGGAAAAAGTTCCTGCAGGGAGAGCGAGCCCACCATGCTATGGATGTTCCCAACTCAAACAAGATTGTCTTGTGTGGAAGATACCTGCAGTCTACAGTTAAAAAAAGATAGATCATTATAGTATTCTATTTTTAATAAAATACTTTTATGCATCTATTTTTCATTATTGTTTTTAGACGTCCTGGTGGGGACCGGATATATGGCGTTTTTGACCACCAATTACCAGCTGCTTTGAAAAAACTCCCCTTCGATCGTCATCTTTCCTTAAAGAATGTTGAACGAGTTGTTACAGAAGCAGATGGTTATCAGCCTCATCTAATTGCTCCAGAGCAAGGCTACAGAAGACTTATTGAAGGATCTATTAGCCATTTCAAAGGCCCAGCTGAGGCCTCTGTGGATGCTGTAATCCTCTTGACTTTATTCATTTATCTGTTTAATATGTGATTGAAATAGCAGATATTAATATGCTTGAATACAATTGTTTATGTATGATGTAATTTACATCATTGTCTGGACATCCTGCTCGTACACCATATTTAACATTTAACTTTTAAGTGAATTTTTCTCCTAGCAAGTATTGTTCTTTTACATCCATGGACAAAGTTTTTGCTGAATTCTTATGAGCACACCCTGTCAGTGCGGGAGAGTGAGCTTATCTTCTACTTTGTGCCAAAAGCCTAAGGCTATTTGCATTTGTACACTCCAAGCTTGATATTCCCCACATGTCATATGTCTAGCCTAGTTGTGACTTGTCTTCATGTTTTAGCATAGAAGGCCATTGGTATACAACATTTTCTCTGTTCTTCCACAGGGGCTGTGAGATCACAGCTTCTGATACCATGCTGAATTTTTACGAGCAGACCTTTCAAATTTTTCAATGTTATGAGAGAGTGAGCAAGTCTTCTAGTAGACTGTGCTTGAGAGATGCTACTTTATCCAAAATGCCAAAAGCTATTTGAACTTATGCACTCTAAGCTTTATATCCCCCTTCTCTCATTTCCAACTAGTGTGAAACCTCTTCATTTTCCAACAGTTTTAAAGTTTCAAGCCCAAATGATTACTGATGTGAGCTATGGCGTTATCTGAATATTTATGAGCATGTAACAATATCTGTGTGTATCTGAATTCCTAATTAACTTTGTTGTGTTTTTTCATTATTCCTTCTTATCAATCCAAACTCAGGCTATAGTTCCTAAAACTCTAATTGTATGCTGTAAAAGTCCTGCACTCAATATCTTTTTACTTTCTCAACCTCTTTCAGATGATCCATCAATTCCCAAAATGGAAACACGGTTATCTTTAACTCTAAAATCCATAAATTAAAAGGATACACCCTTCCTCAAGTCTATCACATATTGATTATTAACCTGTGTTTTTTCTTTTTATTCTTTCTACTGTTTTTACCTATTAGTGCATGTTTAGTTCAATTTGTTTTGAAGAAATATAATCACTTAGTTGGTTAGCTTTTTGAGTGAGATTTAGAAAAGTACACAATTATTTTCCTAGAATTCAAGCAAAATTCCAAGCAAGCACTAGTATTCAAATAGTAATGTGTTTCTTCTATTTATTAACTAGCATTACTTAGTTGGTTATTTTATCAATGTTTGCTCCACGTACAAATTGTTTTCTGTCTTCTACTTTCAGGTCCACCTCATTTTAAAAGAACTTGTACGGAAGTCAATTGCAGCAACTGTGGTATGCAACTTTTTTAAGATATAACTCTTTCAGAAAGGCCCCAATTTTCAAACAACATGCATTCTAGTGTGATGATATTTATCTTAGTCAACAGTTAATTAATCTTTGTGTGAGAAGTAATGTTAGTGATCCTTTGCTTGTGAGAAAAGTAAATAAATGCTCCAGTTCTAGTATCACCATCAAATATTAAGAGCGTTCTTCTTTTCTGTTGGAACAAAAAATGAGGAATTGGAGGTCAAAAAAAAAAAAACTGGATGTCGGAGGAGAAAAAGGTTATAGGCATAAGGAATGGTGTCCCTAGAAAAATCACATAGCACCTTTTGGGGATGGATTTGGCAAAGCTCAAGTTGACACAGAATAGCTTATACTTCTAGAGTAAAAGAATGTCTTTGAATTTTTATTCATATTATAGTCTAAAACTCTTATAATAGAAACACGTTATGTAAACTTAAGCAATATGGTTATTCTTTTCCCTCCTTTCAGGACTTGAAATAAAAAGTCTAGGACTCCATCATATTGCTCTAATATTGTAGATTGATAGACTAGTACCAAGAATTGAGGTAAAAGATGATTATTATTCAAGAAAGATTGAGGTTTTGCCAAGAAAGACTCTTACAGAACTAGAAAACAAAAAGATGATCTCTACCAATTCAGTGCAATTTGAGAGGCACTGGTTCTCTCCTAACTTGTCAATAGTTCTATCTTCTACTCTCTACATATTGTCCAATACATTTTATAAGCTCCCTTCATTCTAACTAAATCCTTTGGGCCCATTATTAACAAGTCCATTTTGCCCAATCCGCCAGGTATAGACCCATTTTATTATGGGTTTATTTTCATTATTGTTATCATAGATCATTAAAATTAAGGAAACTAACTGTAAATCCTCATTAGGAAGTTTGAAAGAATAAGCCAGAAATGGTTAACCTTCTGTCATATTAACAAAACCTGTCAAGAGTACTGTTTATTTACATATACAGGAAATTAACAATACCTGGAATGCGCTCCTATTTCACTCAGGATTCAGGAACAAGGCATATTGCCTCAAGTAGAGAGAGAGATCAGCTTGTCAATTGTGAGATAGTTAGAGCCTTTGGCTTAGGAGGTGCTGTCTCTTGAAGAACTGTTGAGTGTGTGTTTATATTTAAGTAACTTGGGGAGTTCCTCCTTGTGTTTCCTAATAAAGATGCCAGATTTCTATCAATTTTACTCTCTAATAACTTGATGGCATGTAGGAATTGAAGAGGTTTCCAACACTTCAATCTGATATAGCAGCTGCTGCAAATGATTCTTTGGAAAGATTTCGAGAAGAAAGTAGGAGGACAGTTACACGGCTGGTTGATATGGAATGTGGCTATCTAACAGTAGAATTTTTTAGGAAGATTCACCTTGAACCAGAAAAGAACCCAAGTCGTAATAGTTCTACTCCTACTCCCAATCTGGACAACACAGATAATCACCTCCGTAAAATTGGTAAATAATTCTCTTCCTTCTCACTGCATGCGCAACACAGAATCTACATATTAAGATTTCAGAATTCTCCCTCTTGCTCCTGGACTGATAATGTAAATTATTGGTTCTACTAAATTAAGGGTAAGTTGGTGAATGATGTTGAATGAATGTTTTTTGAGATAAAGTGATTAGAGATGTGTCACAAATTGAAAGTACTAACCCCTATTGAGATTTGAGATAAAGTATGGTGGTCACTTTAACCCCTAAATTTACTAAATTCTCATTTTAACTCTGATTTTGGAAAAAGTTATGCATTTTAATCCTTTTCCACTTCATTTAACACCAAAAAGAATTAAAGTGAATACATTTTGCAAAATTAGGGAGTAAAGTGAGGATTTATATAGTAAGAGGCTAAAGTGACCAATGCTAATTATTTTAGGGACTAGAATGGGATTTACTCCACATGTATTGATACTCAATTCATGATTGTTAAAATATTGTGATTCTTATTTCAGGATCAAATGTCAATGCCTATATCAACATGGTTTGTGATACACTAAAAAATTCTATACCAAAAGCCGTGGTTCATTGTCAAGTTAGAGAGGCAAAGAGATCATTGCTTAACCAATTTTATGTTCAAGTTGGCAAAAGAGAGGTATGTATGGGTTAATATCTTGTTAATTTTTTTTTGCAAATAGATCTAATTTCTACCTCCTTCCATAAATGTATATTTTACATGGTTTATGTCAGAATATTGGAAAATATCTTATCATATCTTAGATTAATCTCTAAATTTAGTTTCCCTATTTCCTCACATATTTTAGGGTTACCATATTTTATTATCCTAGCTTATGATTTATTTTCCTAATTAGTTAAGATTATGATTAATAGAAATAAGGGTTAGAGCTTTAGATTGTATGAACATATACTAGAGAAACAATGAGATAATATTTTAGAGTTTATGAATGAAAATGTTAGGCATTCATATGCTAGACCATGTGGGAAATACAAGTAAGGGGAAGAAGAGGAATTTTGGATGGGATGACCTTGCTTGTGGCAAGGAGGATAGGAGGGAGAGAAAAATGGCTAGAGGAAGGATAAAAGAGAGAGAGATAAGGGAGAAGGTAGGCTATCAATTGGGTAGTTCAATCTTTGGATAGGAGCTGAGAGCTCCAGAAATTGTGTAAACATCCTAAGTCTTTCTGATTCAATAATAAAGATTCATCGTCATTCTTTCATATTTATCTTTTTTAATCTTTGAACCCTAACAATAATTAAGATGTCCAACATAGCCCTCCTCCTATATGTTAACTTTTGGACATGAGTTAGTTCCAAGTTTTTTAACATATACGAATAGAGATGTACATAAGAAACCCTAATGGGCCAGGCCCATTACGAATACTCATAACAGTATAAGCTAATCCTAATACAACTACTCATTACACATTTGTTAGTTGATCATCCGTCCTAACATGGGAGATAGAAAAAAGATTCTTTTGAACTTTTTTTGAATGAAATGAAAAACCACTTTAATTTGTTTCATTCTTTCACGAAAAATTGAATTCAATGAAATGAAAATGTTAGGTTGGTTATCAGACCAAAGTTTCATAGAACTAGTGTTGCCAAATCCCATCTCCTCCAAGATTTGCTTAACCCATGGTAGCATGCTAACTGGAAAAGTAATGTCCGGCCTAGTAACATTTAAGTAATTCAACTTCCCAACCAATCTTTTGTATTTCTGTGGTTTAGAAAATGGGATTTCATTTGCTGTTAGCTTCACTCCTTGCTCCATGGGTGTCTTACACAGTTTAGGTCCCTTCACACTGGTTTCAGTCAACAGGTCTAGAACATACATCCTCTGTGAAAGGAAGATCCCTTTCTTTGAGTACATAACTTCAATGTCCAAAAAGTCTTTAGTCTGAAACTTGGTCTAAAGATACATCTTTAGTTTGTTGATTCCTTCCACTATCATTACCTGTAATAACAATGTCATCAACATAAACAACAAGTAAAATGTAACCAAGGTTAGTTTGTTTATAAAACTCTGTATGATCAGATCATAGGAGATTCTATTTGCCTCTTACCTGATTTTATAGCAGACCAGTTTTCTTTTTTAGGAACCAATTTTGCCTATAAATCATTGAGCTGTATCTCAAATGAAATAATAAGATAAATAATTATTCCCTTTTTCTCTTTCTAGTATACAAAATTATTCTCTTTCTTTTCTGGTACTAGTGTCCATGTTTGTTTAGATTCCAAAGCTTGAATTTCTTCAATCAAAATAAGCACCCTTTGATACATTCAGACCTCCATCTTTAGCTGAGTACCAGCACCCTAAGGCTTAAGGGTTCCTAGAGAAATTATGTTTCCAGTCAGGAATATGGCAAACTTCAATCGAAGTTCTGACAACACTATCATCAATTGGGATTTAAATACTGCTCATTAAGATAGGATCACTATCAACAAGTTCAAAAGATGGTAAAAAGGTCCATAATAGGATACATTTGAAAATTGCATTTAAAACTGAAAATCCTTTCAGTTTTACTCCTCTTATTAAAAGAGACAAAATATAATAAAATATCATCATTAAAATCACTTTCAATAGTAACAGCTTTAACATATTGTGAAGGTTTCTTTTTTCTTCTCTTTCTTGTTTCTTCTTTAACATAAAACAATAAAAAATGTCTGTCCAATTTTTTTGTAATAGTGACAAGTTTTGTCAGATTTATGTTCCCTAGATTTGGTTGTCAGATTTTTGTTACTAGTGCTCTTTTTTCATGAACTTCAAGATCAAACTTTTCTTTGGACAATATTTTAAATTTAACATCTTCAAAGAGGTTACATGATCTTTCTTATTTTAAGTATTTTGTAAGTAGAAGGACAAGAAGCAACCAACAAAATAGTTTTACTTTCATCTTCAATCTTAATAACAATGTTTTTCAAATTCAAAATAATAGAATTGAACTTATCATGACGTGATTAAATGGTGCTACCTGCAATAATGTAGATTGTATGTAACCCATCTTGAGACAAACTTATTTGGAAGACTTGTGATTCCAACTTCAGCCTCAATTTCAAAACTATAGTTTTACTGGATATTTCACGAAGAACCTTCTTGGACAAGTAAAGTTGGTGCTAAAAGTTGTCATCCAACTCATCCCATTGCTCATTAATTTTTCATGAAAGTCAATTTCTTCAACTTCCCATCTAGTGATACTTTTATTTGGACTTGTCAAATGTAAAAACTAATTAATCTTGCCATTAAACTTCTCAAAATTAAATTTGTACTATAGACATAAAAAACTCCCAATTGAATAAGTGCTCTTAATACCACTTTTTAATTCATGTGCATCATACAAAAGCAGCTGATCAAATCTATTGAAAAAAAGAGAAGCAAACAAAATAATAAAAAGTCAATTAAGGAAAAAAAAAAGCAATAAAAATATGAACATTAGTGGTAAGTGTAAAACTCTTCAGGTGAGAAAGAAAAACTACTTGTGATCACAAGAAACATAATTTCTCTACCAAAAGAAGAGTACAATAAAAATACTTTAATGAGGATGATGAGAAAATTTTCTTTATAAATTCTTGCTCAAAATGAATTTCTTTCTTTAGCTAAATATTTCTCAGACCTAACATATTTGAAATGTGATAATGATGCTATTAACTATTAAATAAAAGTGTACTGGCATGTAAAGGAGAAATTTGGCCTCTAACTTCAATGGCTTGAAGTGGAGAGAAATTTAGTCCATTAGTGTATTTAGCCCAATATTCTCCACATTGGCTTATTTGTCAGTTTCTCAGTCGTGTGAACTTCATTTACTACAACAACATCTCAAATGAAGTACTTGATAATGACTAGTCTTTGTAACACTTTGCAGTATTTTCTTATGTAGGATGTCGCTATATCATAACTATTATTAATGATTTGTATCATATTATTTGAGTTTATCTTAAGGCATAAATATGAAACTCTCTTCACTTTTAAGAAGTGAAAATTTCTTGTTGATAGACATATAAAGGAAATCTAAACAAAGGAAAAGGTCAAGAAGCCTAAAATGGATAATGGGAGAGAGTTCTATGAGGGTGAAGTCATTGAGTTTTGTGTACATCATGGTATTGATGGACAGAAAATCATTCCAAGCAAGTCCCAACAGACTGGTGTTACAAAACAAATTAATAGAAATGTAATTGAGAGTTTGTTGAATGCTCTCAAATGTTGATATATTGCATAGACATGAACTTTGGGTCAAGGTAGCATATATTGTGATACTCGGTTAACCGTTCTCCATTTTGTCACTTGACATCAAAATTCTAGAACCAAATTGATTAAATTAATTTAATATATAAACGTTTTAATGGTGGCAAATTAGCTCCAAGAGCTATTAAGTGCATTTTCCTGTGTTATGCAATTAAGTCTTAGAAATATCATCTATATTTTTATTTTAAATTGTGCAAATTAATTCTAGCAGACAATCTCTTGTATCTTCTTCTAGTAGTACAAGTAATTTGCAAAATACTAAGAAGGTGGAGTAAAAATTATAGTTTGCTGCTTTTAAAGTCGATATTCCATTTTACCCCACGAATAGATCTACTAATATAGTATTGATGATCGTGATAATATTGCCACTTCTCTTATCCAGTCATATATTGATGATAATTCTATGGCCTAAGGATAAACCAAGAAGGTAGATTAAAAGGCCAACTAGGTACACCAATGATGATAAATTGACTATCAATGAATGAACCATTACAGCAGGTACATGGTGGTGTTGAGACTATCTGCTTTATTGAAGATGTTTTTTGTGTTGTTGATTCTTCAAAATGACTTATGGCTATGAACAAAGATTGATAATCTTCATAAGCACTTGGGATTTAACAAAGCTTCCTAACGGGGAACAACATTTAGATGTATAAGAAGTACTACATTGCTGAGGTAGAAGATCCTAGGTGCAAAGCTCAATTAGTTAAGACAAAATAAAGGGATGAACTGGATAATGGAAGTCCAGTTCATCACTCATCATTATTTTTAATATTTATTATTTAAAAATTAATATTTAAAAAAAGTGTCTAAAAAATATTAAATTTATTTTGAAAAAGTCTATATCCTCACTCTCTCTTCTTCCACCATGTTTGGCAGCACCTTCACTTTCTCTTTACCTCAAATCCATCAACAGCACCTTCTTCAGTGAAAATATTTATTTTGTTGGATATCAAGTGTGGAGCAATCAGTTTGGCTGACACGGTTTTCCTCAAAATTGAAAGCCAAGTTTGTTTTATTGGAACAATTTGATTTATGGATACTCTCAATTGTACGGACCCTATGAAGCGCTCAGCCTTCACCTGAATGCCTGAACGTGACTCCATTTCTTGGAACACACTGATATCAGTAACACGGCTTTGGGGTTCACTGTCTTAGTACGTTGTGGAGATGTGCAATCAGGATTTTAGACCCAAATTCATGACGTATGGTGGTGTACTCGGTGCATGTGCCAGCATCTCTGATCTGGAATGGGATAAGCATTTGCATGCTTGGATTCTTCGCATGGAACATAATAAGCTGGATGAGTTTTTGGGAAGTGGGGTCATAGCATGTATCCCAAATGTGGTGTTGGATCATTTTACTCTCGTGGCTTGGGAACTACTTCATGGGTATACAACCAAAAGTGGGATGGATTCCTCTGTTCCCCATATGTAATCCATAAACAGCACCTTCTTTAGCATTCGATGGAGGGTTAAGGGTTTTGAGATTGGAGATTTCGGCAGAAGAGGAGAGAGAGTGAAGAAGGTGCTGCCAAACACAGTGGAAGACACATACTCACAGAGGGACTTCTTCAAAATAAATTAAATATTTTAAGATTTTTTTATAAATATTAATTTTTAAATAATAAAATATTAAATATATGATATGATTATTTTAAAAATGTTAGATATTTTAACAATTTTTTTATTCACTAATTTTAAAAGATATTACTTTTTATAAAAAACAAAAACATAATTAAAATTGTTTAAAATTGAAGCGTCTTGTACTAAGACAACTTGGATTGGGTATATAACATAAATCAAATCAGTTCTGCCTCAAACAGTGCTGTTGTATCAACTATGTATGGCTTATGGGGCATTCGGTAAGACTGGTTTTTCAAGCTATTGGCAAAATGAATTCTTTTAGTGAACCTATTACTTCATGCACATTACACTGTCTCACCATTAGCCAATAAGGACTTGGTAATCAAATTTGAGCTACAATATTTTAGATAATAAATCTTTATAGTATGCAGGGTTATGTGTTAGAATCTTTGATGTGATTTTTATTTTTGATTATTTACTGTTCTGAAACTTCTATTATCCTTTGATTTTTAATTTTATGATTCTCTTTCTCATTATAGTTCTCACTCATATAATGAAAGATTTAAAGAATTCTAACATAAATCCATTAGTTTCAATGTGATGTTTCTTTTGATGGTCTTAATCTATTAGGATTTTCTTATGCTCTCTTTTTTTTCTTTAGTTTTAATTTCATGGTTAAGAGAAAATATACTTTTTTTTATCGCCAGAAGACTATAAATGAGTTAATCTATTTTTTTTAACTCTCATTTTAATAATAACTCTTTTATTCTATTTAAGAAAAAAAAAGAGAGAGTTTCCTTTTAATTGTATATATGATTATACTGTCACTAACTCTATTTTTTATAATTAACAACAATCATATCAAATATTTTAATTAGAGTTAGCTCATAAATTACACGAACCATTAAATAAATTATTAAAATAATTTAACATTAGGATTTTCTTTTACTCCACACATTAGTGGCTCTCAAGTCTGACAACTTGGTGATAAGAGGCTAAACAAAATTGTTGGGTGTATGCAGAAGGATCAATTGGGGGCCTTGTTGGATGAAGACCCTTCACTTATGGAAAAGAGAACACAAATTGCTAAAAGACTTGAATTGTACCAGCAAGCTAGGGATGATATTGACAATGTGGCTTGGAAATAATGAAATATCCCATTCGTTACAACGGATGTTGCCACGATAAGTTGTATTTGCATTTGCAATTAATTGATTCCTTTACCTGTAGTGTATAGCGTTGTTGTGCGTATTCTAAAAGGGTATTATTGTATTCTCCTCATAATCATCTTCCTACTTTATAAAATTAGTATAAAATGTGTGGATTTACTGTCTTAAAAACATGAAAAACATTTGATAATTTCTTCATCCAATAATTAGGAAGATTTATAAAATTATAAAACCCTCGCTTTGTGGGTTTTTTTACTCTAGCTCTCCACTGTGTTCTCAATGCCCGTCAGCAAGAATTAGAGTTTTCCTCAAAATAAAATTTGGGGTGACATTTTGCTTTGCATACCGATAACATACTGATTAATAATACTCGTGTAGATACGCACAAGCCCCCAACAGATTTTAATCATTTGTACGTTGTTCAAAAAGGTTTACTGCAAAATTAAAAAGTTATTTAATAACTTGATATATATATATATATATATATATATATATATATATATAAAAAGAAAGACACTCAATCTGAATTTGTTATGTGAAATAATAAATTATAATATGTTAGATATAAGTTAAATAAAAGATTCAAATTGAGTATAAAATTTTTTATACCTGTACAGTGTAAGAAGATTTTATATATATATATATATATATATATATATATATATATATATATATATAAAGTCGCATCGTTGAATTAGATTCTTTCTAAATTTTGAAAAAAAAACTATTATTACATTTATTTTTATTGATAGCCATCAAGGTAAGTAATATATAATTCTATGTTAATCACTAAAATGAATTTGCATGGTTGATATTTTTTATCATTTATAAAAAAATCTTAAATTTGTCTAAAATAAATTGTGTCTTAGATAACATATTTAAATTATATTTATTTATCAAAAGAAAACATGTCTTTAATTTGATTTGATATTATTTAGACTACATAAATAAGAGTTGACTTAAGTCTTAACTGATTTTACAAATGACGTATTTGCTGGTAATTAAATTTTAGATAAATTTTGGCTCTTCAAAATTATATATCTCTTTTACTAAAATTATGTCATTTTTATTGTATGGTTATTTTTTATTTAAAAATTTTTTAGATAAAAATAAGAAAAAGATTGTTCAATCAAGGTAACAACAATCAAAAGAGCAAATAATGGGATGATGTTGAAAAATAAATTTCCAATTTTTTCATAATAACTCTTTTATTATTAGAATTATGATTACTTTTTTATCGTTAAATTTATTACTATTATTATTTAAAAAGAATATAAAATCATAGTAATTATAGAATTATATTTAAAAAAAATATAAAATCATAGTAATTTATTTTAGATTCTGACTAAACAAGTTTTGGTAAGTTTAGCATGCATCGTTAAGGTCATATTTTAATTTAAACTCAAAATTTAATGTTAAGACCTTACATTTTATCAAATGAGTTCATGTTGGTCCAATTGAAGAGGCCCATATTACCGTTCTACTCCTAAGCTAATTTAAATCAAACAAATATTAATAAATTAGTCTAGTTTAAGTTAAGTTTGGTTCTTTTCCTAAAACAATATAAACCAAAAAGAAAAGGTCATTGTACATAATTAAAGTTAATTAAATCTAAATCAAATATTAATCAAGATGTGTGTGTGACTGCTACCACTCTACTGAGCTACTGAGAAACAACGAGAAATTTGATCTTTAAGGACAGATCGCACAACGTTTTGCTTTTAATAAAAAAAATTAAAAATAAAATAGTATAATTAAGCAAATTGTAACACCTTAATTTAATTTTTCAAAAAAATAAATTTTGTAATAAGTAAGAATAATAAAAATTTCATTCAAATTGTTTCCAATATATAATTTTAATAAAGTATTTCAAAATAAAGATGGATTACAAATTTTGAATCAAATCGTTGCTACAGGACCTATCAATACATCACAATTTTCAAAATAAATTCTGTAAGTCCTATAGCAGTTTCATTCACACCTTTCACTGAATCTGGTGTTAATTGTCTTAGTCACCTGAAAAATAAATGTAAAGGTGAGTCCTCTACACTATTATACACACGAACATAGGAACTCACCTTGCATATTCCAAACATTACATAATCTGATTTAAATCATTCATTGAACCACCATAAGTCATTTCACCACAACAACACGCACACCAAATCGCATATCAATCATTTACACGTGTACGCTCATTGTACATGGAATCACATCAATTTACACACAGGTGCGCTCACTGCATCATCAATCAATCTACACACGAGCGCTCATTGTACGTTAGTTACGTTCACTGTGGCACTATAATCATAGATTCCAAATGCCCTCAACCTCAGCGACTTACTCAGTTTCACACCATGGATGATTGCCGGTTAGCCCCCTGCCTCACTGATATAACGTGTGCGGTCACTGACCTCTTAGCAAGGGTATTAGTCAGAGGCTAAGTCAAGAAGAGAGTGTGTGGCCTGTGGTGCACCAACGCTCATTATTGGTGTCACAATCACCTTCTCTTTCCCAAGGTATTTTTACTGCCCCATCTTCCACACCTTTAATGTATCGCTCTAACCTTTCATAATTTCTAACATTTTCAAATACAACCACAATCACACTCAACATGTCATTCACACATATTCTCACCCATTTCATATTATTCATCATCAACCAACAGCATGTCAACACATACATCAATCACATTATATTCACACAATTTCAATCACAACCCTATTGCAAGTTACACCATTTTCATCACAAACATTACTCAATATCTACCACATTATGTTCCACATGAAATCTCTACCAAAACACATATCTTCATGAGTTTTAACCTAATCACCTTGCAATACACAACAAAATAAACAAATTCTAAGTACAATGAGATATAGTAAAGTCCCACCTTACCTCGGATCGATGACCCAACAATGGAATTGCTCCCCACATGGATTTTCGTCCTAAACACATGAAAAACTCTATGAGAAACTGAGAAAACAAAGAAGAGGGATGAAAATCGAAACCCTAACCCATAAAACTTACCTCCAAGCATCCCAAACACGATATCAACCTTCAATCTTGCACCAAACGACCTCAGAGGTAATTAGTTGGTGATATAGGATTGGGAATCAAGAGAATCGAAAGAGGGTTCAAAGGAAGAAGTGGGAAATGAGTTTCCCAACCATAAACCCCTCAAATACCCTAAGATTTGTGACACTCTCGTTATAGCGAGATATTTCTCGCTATAGCAAAAATATCAGACCAAACTGCACTCTAGTTTCTGCATAATGCTACAGCGAGGTCCTCTCGCTACAGCAAGACTGTGCCCAAGAAATGCACCCCCTCTATTGCTCTTTCGCTATAGCAAGAAAGCAACAAATGCACGCCACTCACCTAGGACCTTCTTGTTACAACGAGATCATCTCGCTCTAGCGAGAATGCCTCTATTTCTCGCTATAGCGAAAATATCAAACCAAACTGCACTCTGGTTTCTGCATAATGCTACAACGAGGTCCTCTCGCTACAGCGAGACTGTGCCTAAGAAATGCACCCGCTCTGTTGTTCTCTCGCTATAGCAAGAAAGCAACAAATGCATGCCACTCACCTAGGACCTTCTTGCTACAACGAGATCATCTCGCTTTAGTGAGAATGCCTCTGCAGTTCACTCTTAGCCTATTTCTCAATCAATTTCAACCCAAATACAAGTCAACATTTCCATCTCAATTCATCACACAATACATACCTATATATATATATATACACACACATTCACATTAACACACAAATCAACACACACATTGAATTAATAACCCACATACTTATATTAATAATCAAAATAATATTACAAAAATTCGGAGCGTTACACAAATAATTTTAAAAATATAAAATAAAACTTACAAAAACAAGTCTTGTATTAATATTGAAAACTTCTTACAAATGTTGTAGAAGTTTGATACAAAATATTGAAGAAAAATATTACAAAGCTTAAGAAAGAAAGTTTCTTTAGCTTAAGAATTATAGAAATGTTGTGTTTGCTTGCAATGGCTAATGCCTTCTTCCTCTGAATACTGGCTTTTATAGAGTTTTCTTTCTATTCAAAGATTCTCCCTTATCTTCTTGATCATAACTTGTTTGTCATTTTTTGTTGCTGACACTTCTTTTTTATATTGTTTAATCCAACTTTGTACAAAGATGCTTATGCTTTTTCTTTTTAACTATTCATCTTGTATATCTTGTCTTCCACATTTTTGCTAACACGTTGTTTTATCTGTTGAGACGAGAGAAAGATTCTATAACAATCATCTTCATTACCATAATCAAAATCCTCTATGTCTTCTAGTGAATTTAGACTACTATCTTTTTCTGAGGCAGCATCTGATGTTCTCAAAGACATTGTTTATACTATCTTATTAAATTATTCTTTGGTCCCTGTTGCGCTAAGACTACCTAATAACTGAGTTTTCTATTGAAAAAACTCCTGATTACTTTTTTCTATTATTACTTAATTATCTAAATATGAGGGTGGTATCATGGGAAGTTTTTTATTTAGATTTGGTACTTCTGAAATTACTTCACCACTTGACTTTTACGATTCAGACTAATAATTATATTGATTGATGCTCCTAAATTCTTGTCGAGTCATTCTCCCACATAGTTATCCAAGTGATTCCTTGACTTGCTATAAAATATATGAATTGACAATCAAGAGTAAAATTTGTATTTTGGTGAAATAATCCAAAGCAGTTCTGGCTTCATCAAAAAGTTTAAAATAATGGGTCTAAAATCATGAAACCCATAATGAAACCATTTGGGAAATTTTAAAGATTTCTTATCTAAACCAAATGAACCACGAATGAGTTGCTAGTTTGAGATAAAAGATGTTTCTCCAGGCATTAATATAATCAAAGTAATTATATTATTTAGGCTGTTAATATATTGTAAAGCTTTTATATTGGAATAGGGGTTGTTCCCAATCCTTTATTGTCAATATATTGTTTATTTTAAATTTAGAAAATACA